ATATTCAAGTTCAGCAAGCAAAGAAGGTAAAGAAAGTGTGCTTTTAAAAAAATAAACACAAATAAGATACTTAATATCTATTAAGTTTTTTCTCATAACTTTTAAAAGGCACATTATTTTATGAATATTATAGCTTTTTGTGCTTGGGTAAAGTATAAAATTTAAGTTTGGACAAAGATTCAGTTTTAAAATCTTAACATGTTGTTAAGGGCTTTAGGCAAGCATCTATTCCTAACCTCACTCCTCAAAAACAAACAGCCCTGACACAACTCTTCTATTCCTCCTCATTTATCCCTCCTTCCCTCCTAATTGTTTTCAACATAGGATGAAAAAGACATGTTTGGGTTTGAAGAGATTTTTTTTGGTTTTGCTTTTATATATCTGTTTTACCTCACATGCTCGTTCTTATTGAGTAATAAGAAAATTACACCTGATTTAATTGTGACAAAGAGGTGATTAAGTAATACAGACTCTTTTGCTCAACAAGCCCAGGATGTGTTACTGAATCCATGTTTAGAATTATTAGCCACATGCAAAACATAAAGGGCATTTCAGGAAATTGGAATTTTAGGTTGATGCTACTTGTTTTTAAAATATTTTTAAATATTTAGGTGATACAGGATGTTAAAAGTGCTGAAAACGTTTTTGTACGTTACTTTCCACCCCTAACATTTAAAAGTATTTCCCAGTGAAAATAATAGTAAATAACGTGAAGCCCTAGAAGTACATCCAATGGAGTTCAATGCCACCTACTCCCAGGTAAGTGTGCATAGGATTGCAGCTTAAAACAAATAAACTTATAAAATAGTAGAAAATTACATGTACCTTTAAAATATGTGGATTAATTTGTTGTCTACATTGTATCTTTTAAAAAACCACCAATTTGAAATACAGAGTAATTCAATCTTTGCCTGTTTTCCTTTTCTAATAGGCATATTTCTATCTCTGGGTCTGAAAAAGCTGTGAATTCAAAAACATCTCCCCCTATCATCAGCCTTTACATCTATTCCTGAAAACACACCCTAACACCCCAACTTAAAAACCGTAACTTGAAAGTAAATCTCATTGATTTCAAACTTGCCTCAAGTAGTGTGCTTAGGAATAGGATGCAAAAGGTTTCCACATTCATATCATATGGATGTTAATGGCTTACTATGTGTGTAGTACATTGTCTTAAAGCCTTTCTCTTCCTATTTTGCATTTCAATGGTTCTTTCCAAATGCATTGTTTTACAAAACCACCAAGAGGCTATCTACATTTTGTCATCAAGTTCCCTGCAATGTGTTAAAATAGCATCATAGTCCCTCTTTCAGTCTATATATTTCAATTCCTTAAATGAAACTAAAGTTAGTACAATCAATTTAAAATAAAGTTTAATGTATTATTAGTGCAATACAATTTACCCTGGGGGGTTTTGTGCCAAAATCAAAGTTTTATGTTGATCATTCTGTTAATATACAGCATATATACTTTAAAAAAAAGAGATTTGTTTAAAATGCATGCAAAGGTTTTACAAAATACATTTCTAACATACACATTTTAGTTTGGGCAGTTCTTTTAGCATGATTTTCAGTTGACATTGCTTTACATTCTAGGAAGGGCCAAATTTTAAATGATACTGAATGTGAAAAATGAACTGTAGAACTATATGAAGTTTAATAGTGTTCAAAATAAAAAATACGTCCAAAGCTTTTACAAACTGGAAGGAAACATAGGCAGCAATTTTATTACAATGTACTTTTCCAGAGTACTGTACCCCTTAGGTTTCTTGTCCATTGTATGCTTTGCTAAACAACAGAACCTTGGTGCTACTTAATTCTGAAAGTTCCAAGTCCTCAGCATCCCTGACATTCACCCTCCCTTTGCTACCTTAAAGTCCAACTCCATCTGTCAGTGCACCTATCTGTATTTATTCAGTCTCCCACAATAGTTCCTAGTAGATGCAGACTGACTTGTTGAATAATGCTGCTTCAGTCACTCTGGGTCTACTTTGTAGTGAAGTGGTTGGTATCTATTTAGTTCTTTTGGTCTCCATTAAAAAAGAATAAATAGGAATGATTTATGTTTAAATAAAACATTTTGTTTGGTCTCCATTAAAAGGCGTATAATGTGTATGGTAAATTTCCAATGAAAAGGGCAATGAAGAAACAAGAATTAAATTAGTCTGTAAGGTAGCAACAAACTGTCTACAAACTAAAGTTCAATTTAGGCCACAGTTCTAATGCTGGGGTTAACAATATCACTGGGAATACTTTTTAGAACTTAGATATCATTTCCCTGAAATAAGCAAAAATAGCTTTGAAATACTCTTCACTCAGATCCACAACTCAATTAAAGCTGCAACCCTATCTACATTTTCAAGGAAGACCCATTTAATACAGCGAGGCTTACTCATGAGTAAATATGCATAGGAACAGGCTAATTTTTGAATCATTTAGGTGTAAATGGGTCAATGGAGTTGACAGTGCAATCCTATATATTTTTCTTACAATAAGTCCCACTGTGTTTAGTAGGGCTTACTTCCAAGTAATCCTGTATGGTTTTAAAGTCTGAATTAGTTAAAACAGTAGTTTGGTTTGATAGGAACACAGTTATTAAAGTGGAATCTAATTCTTTAAATACTTTTATTTAAATAATAATGTAGCTTTCAGAACATAAGGAAATTAATAAATTACACAATATACTTCTAATTTCCATATCTTTGAAGGACTGAAAGATAATACACATGAATGAAAGGCAATACATGTTTTTGTACTTGGGCTCTAGGATTTTAAATATCACTCTCCATTCTACATATTTTTTTTCTTTGCTGTAGCAGGCACATGGAAATACAGGCACTTTGTGAAGCATTTTTGTATGGTATGTCAAAAGTTTTTGTCTCAAAATGCTAAAACTGGACTTTGGGGGGATATTGCCATGCAGCATACAGATGAATATTTGGCAGATCACAAACACTCCAATGACCCTGTTATGTTAATCGAAGTGCTCAGCTATGCCTTCTGTAGGAAATGACACTCACCACTCCCTTTCCCTGTCCTTCCTCCTCTATCTAGAAAATTTCACTTCAGACTTTCAAGGACAGCAAAAACTGACCCAAGATATCCCTCTCATAAACTGCAGGCTCTGATATCCCAAAGGACAATAGTTCTGCACATCTCCTCTCTCTTTAAACAGCAGCTCTTCACAAGCCCACATATCTGCAGATGTGTTAAACTGTTCTTTATTTTACAACTTCTAAAACACACACACACACACACACACACTTGGGACAATACAGATAGTTTAATACTGTACACTTGATTTAAATTGTCTTCCTGTCAGCCAATAATGCAGTCTTGCAAAATCATACAATTTTACAAGTCTATGCATAAAGTCACTTTAGCATGATAATAGGGAAAAATCAATGGTATTTTACTTGGAAGGCTTTCCCTTCACCTTCTCCTTCACAAAAGTAGCAGCCCTGGGGCTAGTGGAGGAGGAGAATTTTGCAAAGCTGCATTTAATCTCCTTTCAGTCTTAACAGTAGCCACAATTAGTTCCTTCTGCTACAGTCCTACCTGCTTACAGTGGATAATTGAAAAGCTTGGGATTCTGATAACCTGAACCATCTCGTTTTTTACTCTGCTTTTTGAAATATATAAAAGCAAACCAACAATAATTGATCAAAATCTGGAAAACATGTCCTTTTAAATTAATCTAGATAACAAAAACATCCAAGTTTAGGGGGATGTGCATATTTCTAAAGGGATAAGGCAGCCTGTCTTTTCCCTGGTTGTGTTGTCTAGTCTGCTCAATTCTAGTTTTAACAACAGCCATGCAGAAAGATCTCTGCATGCATGGTACTAAAAGATACAGTATGGCGAGGCCAGGATGAAGGTAAGGACAACATGAGCATTTCTGCAGGATTTGTGCAGTGGTCTCTAGGTTAGCCAAACAGAAAAGTGGAAATGTATCAGTTCTGCCCTTGCATCTAAAGTGATGCAAGAGAAACCGAATTCCAAAGGGATATAGCTATATTACCCGTGTTTTATAGCAACTAGGGTAATAGAGTTTGACTAAGTAAGTAGTATGTATGTGCACACAGAGATTAAGACGCTGTTTCTATAAAAACAAAGAATTCCAGAGAGTACTTGGGAAAGTTTGTCGCCATAAAATAGTATTTTTAGATGCCACGGTGCCCTTTGTTGTTCATAGACACGATATATATTGGAAATGCAGCACATTCAAACAAGTTAAGAGGGGGAATTTTGGAAGAAGGATTAGCTAGCAATCCGAAATTGAGGCCGGGGACCCTTAAAGCAGGAAGGAAGTGCCCCTGAAAGGAATTCCTGTTCCAGGAGTTTGGGATCATCAGGGTGGGAGAGGAATCCCGCCGCATCAGCCAAGAACAGAGAAACGGAATCCAACAGCCCTTGAAATGCAAAAGAAGAGCCTGTTGCAGAAGAAATGCAGGTCGCATGTGTGCGTGCACCCCCCCCCGCCATCCCAAACTGATCAAATTTCTAGGGCCAGGCTAGGTGATCGCAATCGTTTTTGTTTCACTCAGGCTTTTGACTCTGCCCAGCTGTTTCAGCTGCCTGGCCTCGTAAACACACGAGAGGATGCGGTGCGTGTGACGGAGCGAGGAGCGGGAAAGTATAAATCCCGCTGCTCCTCAAGGTGTCACAGCGGCCTGAGAGAAATAGACACTGACGAAAAACGCGCGCGCGGCGCTTGGGATCCCTCGGGAGCAGAAGAGTGTGTGATGCCATCGTTGTAATGATAAGTTAACACGTGTAAGAGAGGAGGCGCACGGCTCGGGCCGGGCCTAGTCTGGCACTAGCACGACACACACACGCACAAGAGCGAGCACGAGTCCCTCAAGGAAGGAGGAGCCCGGCAGCGGGAGTGTATATTTGTCACTTGGCCCTCCGCCCCAGGGGACGCCCCCCCACCTCTACCGCCCCCGTCACGCGCACGCTCTGACTGGGCACCCGCTCAAAAAAAAAAACAACAAACGGTTGAGAGCCAGCAGGGCAGCGCGCGACGCAGAACTTCGCCCAGCGAGCTCGTGTTCCGCTGTCGGCCCATGAGCCACCGCGGGGGAAAAGGAGGAGGGAAAGCGAGAGAGCGAAGGCTGCTGCTGCTGCCGCGTCGCGGGGCCTTCGCCGAGGAGGCGTTGCAGTGCGCCTGCGTGCAGCAGGCCCCTGCTTCTGTTGCCTTTTTCGCGTTGCTGTCTCTCTCTCTCTCCGTCTCTCTCTCTCCGCCCCCCCCCCCCCCAGTCCGTGCGGCTCGCAGGACTGTTGCCGCTGCCAGCAAACCCTTAATTCCTTGCTGGAGATCTCCCAAGACGGACTGGGTACCTGCCCGGCCGAGCCGGCGCCCAGCGAGGAACTTGGAAGGAGCCCCTTATCCGCCGCTCGGCTGTTGCTGTGCTGCTGCTGCCGCCGCCGCCGCCGCCGCCACCAGCGGCCATGGGTCCCACGTCCCTGCTATGGAGGCGGTACTGGCGGCGGCGGTGGCTGAGCGACTGAAGGCGGAGTGCTGCGGGGCAAGAACTGAGGCGGCGGCGGCCGGGGTCTCTCCGGTGCCGGGGGGTGTCGTGCTGACGGTGTTTTTAACCCTTAGATGGTCTCTAGCGAGCCGTTGTTGCTGCCTGTGTCACTGGAGGGTGAGTTCTCCAATAGTATGAAGGAGATGATCGGCGGCTGCTGCGTTTGCTCCGACGAGAGGGGCTGGGCCGAGAATCCGCTGGTTTACTGCGACGGGCATGGCTGCAATGTCGCAGTGCATCAAGGTGAGTGAGACGGGCCTGCTTCGGCCAACCTCTCTTGGGAGGTGGTGGGGTGGGGGGTAAAGAGAGAGAGAGAGGGCCGGGGGGCTGCTTTCGGAGGCGTCTCTTTTTCCTCCCCCGTATGTCTCTTTTCTGTCTCTCACACACGCGTCACAAGTCACCACTTTATGGAGTGCGCCATCCACGTCTTTGCCCTCCTTGCTTGCAGGAGTGGGTCGCCTTCCCCCCTTCCCCCTGCCTCCTGTTAACTCGGTTGCTGGCTGTGTTCGCGGATGCTTAAAACTCAAGGAGGCGGGCCCTTTTTAGGAAAAGGGAGATGGGTGGACCCCCCTCCAAAGATGCTGGGGGCGGCCGGGCATGTGCTTTTGGAGGGGGGTGGCCAGCAAAGGTGTGCTATCCTTGTGTGTGAACGAGTAAGTTGCGTGTGTCGCCCTAGTCGTTACTTCCTCATCCTGTGTGAATGCCTGCCCTTCCTTCCTTCCTTCCTTCCTCCGCCCTTAGTAGTGAAAGTAGGCAGGAAGGGAAAGGTACGGAGCAGTATCAAAACACTTCGACGTGAGCTTAAAAGAGGCAACGTGCGCTTTTTTGCTTTTAGCCAAATTGCCCCTGCCTGCTGAGTCGGTATCCCTTTGCACTTTTTGGCACGTCCTCGAAAAGTCTTGCTCCTCCTCCTGTCTCCTAAACCTAGGTAAGAAGCCAGAAAACGTGTTTGTCAAAGGGAGAGAGTTAGCTGTCATGTGACTGCCCCTTTCCTCCCGACTGCCTCTGCCGGAGCGTCCTTTGACTGGATGGTGTCTGCTGGATGAGGAGACTTCCTGTTTGTGGTAGGAGAGTGTTGGGGGAGGGGAGGAAAGGGGCACTGTGGACTGACTTATCCTTTGATGGTAGATTTGTTTGGATTAGTGGAGGGAGAGCAGTTGGCTGGTGCCCAGCTGAGTGGCTGTGTTGCTGTTTTGCTTGCTATAATGAGCACAGTGTGTCTCTGCTTGTCTCTGATGATCTGTATGAGTTTCCTTTACGTCTGGAATATGTTACTGTTGCGGTCGTAACTTAGAGTATGCGAGTACATACATGATAGTACAAAAGATCCAGCTGATCCAGATTGTTTTTTAATCCTATTTGTGAGAGGTGGCTGCAGGGCTACATAGTTTGTGACTAGTCAGAAGGAGCACTGGAGAATGGAATAAACTGTCATTCCTTCATGTGAACTTGTCTATCATGAAAATCTTCAGGAATTCTCTTCCACCCGAAGGGTGACACCTTGGAACTAATCTTTTTATGTTTCCAGTGTGCATGCATGTACTTTTCCAGAATTTCAGGTCTGGGCTTACTATTATTTGTTACAGCAAATGCCAAATTTTTAGAATTGCAACTGTGCACCTATGTGTTTGATTCAGTGCATTGAAAAAGGGGTCAAGGTGTCTAGGTGAATAGATGCATGTGCTAGAGAAAGAGGAGGGATGGGACATTGTCCAAGTCAAGGGGCAATGTGAAACTTCAGCTCCCCTCTCATTTCACAAAAGCTTATGCGTCTTTAGAGGTATGAGATTTCATGTGAGCAACCAGGAAATGGGCCGCAGATGGTGACCTATTACAAAGTGGTGCAGATGTGCCCCATCCCCTTTCAGCATGACTATTGGATTGCAGAAAAACCTTAGTTTACGTGCGCCCTACAGTATATTGTTTGTGGAATCCTCTGTACTCTGTAAACTGAAATTGATATCTATATTTATAGTAAGTCTCAGTTTTTAATGAAAGTGAGAGACTGTGGCATCTGTGCTCTTATTCAGTTTCCCACACATGCAGCTAACCCAGCTTTTTCTTCTGTTGATGTGGTTATGAGTTTGCAAAATCTTTAAGACATAGTCTGAGAATGGGAAATAGGAAGTAAGTAAGAAATTGAAAGTGGAATAGGGAGACTTATAGGAGGAGTTACAGTACAAAAGTACTCATGTGAGACTAATATTGATTAGTGTATTTGTTTTGCTTTTAAATCATAGTTGCACTAGGTGTGTAATTTGATTCTGAAAAAGCAACAGAAAGCCTGATTCTGTGCATGTTTTCTCAGAGTATATCCCATTTAGTTCAGTGGGGTTTACTCCCAAGTAAATGCACATATAATTTACATTATCTGAAAAATAGCTGCAAATGTCTGTTTTGTTATATCATTGTTTGGGTCTGCATCAGGGTCCTCAAAGTTATTTGCAATAAGGCTTGGATCTCTCTATGGAAATTAAATTAAATACTATGAATATGCTGTGGGGAAATCAAAATACTATTTCCTTTATATTTCAGGAAAGCTTTACTTGGGAAAACTTCACTCCCAAACTTCTATTATTGCTTTCATGTGTACCAATAAACCTGTTGGAGGGAGCTAGACATCCGTGGAGAAGAAACAGCTTAGGGCCCCCCTCTTCCTGTAGTAGCTGCTATTTCCCCAGGGGACCTAGAAGCAAGGTGACTGTGCAACAGGACAGTAGTGAGGAACAGCTGTCATTCCTTTAGTGCTCCAATCTTCAGTGACAGCATGTTAAGTAAAGGAATTTGAAATTGTGGGAGACTTTTGTAGAGCTGCAGAAATAACGTGAGATGACACCTTAAAAAGGGAAACCAGAGCAATCTTCCCCTGAATAGTTATTCCATTTGAATTGGTTCTTCTTGTGGGGAATGTACTTACACATGCAAAGTATGTGAACAGTACAGAAATAAGTATCCCCTTCCTCTAAAGTCACTAACCCTCTTTGTTTATGTGATGGCAGCCTAGGACACGGAGACTAAGCATGGCATCTGATGGTGTCCTAACACTGAGGAGTAAATGGAGTAGGACATAAACATTTTCTTCTAGATAAGGAAAGGAGAGGGGTGCTAGCATGGAAATTTGCTTTAAGATAGCCAGTTACTTTTGCACAACTTACGTATTAAGAGAGACCCTGTATTTTCTTTTTTGTTCTGGTTAGAGGCATCATGAGGTTTATTCCATCTTTTTGGACATGCTGACAACACCAGTTCCCCAAATTTCTGAAATCACTTTGGCTAGTTAGGTGATAGAAATATTCGGCTCTGTTTTGGAAAACATTCCCAATACACCCAAGATTTTTATTAATTCAGATGCAGGAGCCACTGCAGTTGTGGTTGGTTGGGAGCTTCAGCCTACACTGCAAAGTGTATCTAAGGCCCCGTCTCATGCAAACATATCTGGAAGTAAACCCAATTTAATCCATGCAATTTAACTTCCAAGTAAATACACATAAGATCATACTGTGTGCTGTATAACTCAAGCTATCCAGAGATATAGGGCTGATCTGATGCACTAATGAATTCTGAGTGCTCAAGTAGACTGTTCCAACTTAGTTTTGTTACATGCTCTCTGCTTGTGCACATATTCAGGGTATTTAGCTTTATGATGCAGTTGAATTCTGGACTATATAAAGCCCTGGGCTAGTTGATCTGTTTGCACAGTGGTCTCTGCAATATTAATTCCTAAGCTCAGTCATGCCTGTGACACATGGATTTAGAGAGACTTGCACATATGTAGCATTTCATCGTAAATCATGTGAGGGTAAATTGTTGAGGCTTAAGAGTATAAAAGATATAAGCAGCATTGGCAAATGCTGATGGAAGGCAGTTTTGAGTACGTATACCTGTTTTGAGCTCCAGAATTTCTCACTTTAATTGTATAAAGCGCCATGTGCATTGATGGTGCTATATAAATAAATGTCAGCGATAATAATAATATGTACTTGAGTATAGATTTGACTTCTTAAGTTTCATTAATCAGGATGGGACTGCACAGGTGTGCAGGGTTATTCACATTGCCTGAGTAGATAGACATGATAAGGACTGTAAAATGTTTAGTTTCCTTGTTCTCTGGAGGAGTACATGGATGTTTTCTATTGCATTTCTCTCACTTGTCCCCTCCTGCTGCTTCTGCAGTCTTTCTTGGAATCTGAAATAGCTCATCTGCCTCTTGGGCCATTTAAGACCAGAAGAGACTATCCCTGGCACACTTCCCAATATGGGGGAAATTACACTTTTGGCCTAAATGCCTATGGGAATGAGTACAGAGTGCTGCAGTTGTGAGCACTTTGTTGTAGGGATGGGTGTTTTCATTGGGTTTACACCTGATAAGCTTGTTGCTGCAGAATTAGAGCTCTGGATGTATATGCAGAGTCTACAAACAGCAGGTTTTGAGGAGCCATGGAATGAGAGCCAGACAAGAGAGGGATCAGGAACCGTGAAAAAAGTCTAAGGCACAAAGCATAAAGAGGAACCAGACCTCAGGAGTCAGAAGAGAGACAGTGCAGTCAGTTTATACCTTACATGCAAAAGAAGAACCAACATCACAACTGATAGTAGGTCACAGCTGGGTAGATTATTCAGAAGGACTGGGAGCAGGAACTGTGGAAAGAGTAAAAGGCATAACAGGAGGTAGGTCACAAGAGATGGCAGGCTGAGAAGCACAAACAGGAGCTTAGGTATGCAAGATCAAATGGATTATTTAACTTTAGACTTCAGATTTGGGTCTAATTGGGGGAGGCTTTATCTCCAGCAAAGTGTGAAACTAGAGAGGAATCATGGAAAAGAGCAGGCACATAAGGGTGAACGCCTTCAAGTGCCAGTGATTCAGTGGCCACATTTAACATATAATTGTAAGCTAAAAACCTTGGCTTATACACCATACTGTGCAGAAGGTTTATGCTAGTGCATGCAGGCTGATTGCTGTCACTTAGTTTCTTCTTTTGCATGAGCAAGTAATCAAACTAGGAATGGTTAACTTAGCATTACTTCCAAACCTGGGATCGTGGGTTGTTTCTCCTAACAAGCCAGGTCTGTAAACCAAGTATCTTGAACCAAACGTAAGTCAATTTTAAGCCAAGGTTTAACGATCCTGGGTTTGGATATAATGCTAACTCTCCTTTTCTCGGGTTTTGCACTCGCAGGAAGCATGGAGTGAAACAGAAGTAACTGGGCACATACAACATGGGTTGTTTAGCCACAGTTCT